GCCTGGGGAAGCCCCCGGGCTGGTCCGCGAGGTGGAGGCGGCCTAGCAGCCCGGGCGCACGACGCGGGACCGGGTGGGCTCGGGCTGGGGGAGGGACAGAGAGGCGGGGGGCGGAGTTGGTGGCCCAGGGCGCCCAGCCCGGCCTGCGCCGAGCGGCCGCCCTACCTCCTCGGCAACCTGGTACACGCTTTCCCGGCCGGCCTCCAGGGCCACAGCCGTCTGATGAGCGGGGTCCGGTCGGCCACCAGGCCCAGTGCCGGACCACCGGGCTGCTCGGCTTGGCGCTTCCCCGCAGGGCTGGGTCGGCGGACTCCAGCTGCTCCGGATGCAGACCGGGCGCCCTCGGGAACTCCAGGGAGCCCTGGCCGGGTAGGCAGGCGGCTGGGACCCCCTGGCCTGCAATGTGTGAATATTAAGCGAGCGTTTTGTGTGCATCGTTATTGGAGGTTTGTTTTTGAATCTGTGCTTTGGTGTGTGGCTCTCCTTGTGCGTGTTTGTGTAAACGAGTGTGCACCTCTGGACACAGCGGTGGGTTTGCACCTGAGTTCCGAGTTTCATTTCCCTGAGGCACCCCGGTGGGTCGCACCCGAGGCGCTCTTTTCTGTTGCTACCCCACCTGATCCGTGTGGGGCTCCAGTGTTCTGCTTCCACCCTTGGAGGTGAAAGGGAGGGCGAGGGGCTTGGCGCCAAAGGCAGAAGAGCCCGGACTCGGTGGCTTTGTTTGTAAACTCCCCGGCGGGCAGCGTGGCCTGGCGGCTGGGCTGGGCCAGGGCCGGGCCCAGGGAAGACAGGGCAAGGACTGGGGCCCGGGGCAGAGGTAGGAATGGGAAGATCGGAACTTCTGCCCCCATCCCTGCCCTGGAGAGAGAGTGAGCTCAGCTGGGCTTGGGGTGGAGCCCCCACCCATGCCCCCAGAGGAGGAGCCTCTGCTGCCAGGGATAGGTTTCTTTATCTCACAATTGTTATGTGTTTGGAATCATGGCTTACAGCTCTCTCGAGTAAAACGGAAGAAGCAGGAATAAAAGGATTCTTGTGTGGGTGCCCCGACCTACTTGGGAATATTAGAAGCTCTCTCTTCCCTTCCCTATCTCTGCCCTGCATGGGGGGAAAGGTGACAGATGCTCAGAGGCAGAAATAGTGAGAATAGTTTCCCCAGAGCTGCAGATCTATCCCCAGGGCAGGCCTGTCTTTGAGGATGCTGGGCCTAGCCACAGTGGAGTCCGAGTCTGGGGGCTGATGTGGAGGGTCCCAGGAGGGCGGTGCTGAGAGCACTTGGGGTCAGGGCACGACGTGAAGCTGCCCTCTGCTCTCCTCTCCTGTCCTCTCCTGCCCTCAGCATTCTGCCTCAACCCTTCCTTATCATGACACCAAAGCCCTAACCCAGAGCGTCTTTCCAGGCAGCTCACGCTCACACACACACACACACATGCACACACACAAACGCGCACACACGTTAGCAGGGATCTCTCTCCAGATCCGGGAAGCAGGACCTTTGAATCTCCGCCCTAAGACAAAGGGAGGGAGTCTCCCAGGCTCCCAGTGCATACCCCCAAGGCTGCTGGGACTGGACCTTAAGGACAACCAGCCCCTGTCCTTGCTCACCTCTGGAAGCCCTAGGGACCTGGAGTTTAGGGGCACTGGGAGGTTGCCAGCAAGAGGTACATTGTACACTGGGGAGCAGAAGGCCGTCAGCCCCACCGCGTCAAAGTGGAGAGGAAATTCCAGTCAGCTGCCGTATTACCTTCACCCACTGGCACCAAGCGTCTTTTCCTTAATCTGGCCTGTGCCTGTCCCATGGTTTTGCTTATTTGGTCTAATTGGTTGGCCTCTCAGTCAACATACTCAAGAGGACTGCCTGTTTGAGGGTGTAGGGGCAGGTGGTACCTCCTAGTGTTTGGTTGTTTCAGTTAACTTTGCCCAGATTGGCTCATTCAGGCCACCTTCAGAAGGCAACCCAGGGGGCTGTGCGGCTCATCGGCAGAGCACTGACCTAGCACCTGCGAGGTCCTGGGTCTCATCCCCAGTACCACAAAAACAAAACAGCAGACACCAACCCAGTTGTCCCAGCCACCTTTTCCCCTTCCATGGCCCTACCCTGACCCACACTCCAAAAACCATAGTGTGTGCTTGGCTAGGGCTTTCTAGACTTCCAGGGTCCAATATGCCGGCCTTTTGTGCCATCCTGGAGAGTAGGAGGTGTATTTTGGGTTTGTGATCAGCTCCCCTCCCACACACTTTGCTCCTCAAAGGCAGGAGCCTCAGTCCCAGGTTGTATCAAGGCCAGACCTGTGATGATCTGGGTACACCCAGCTCCCATGGGCGCAGATGAATGCATAGAGGGAAGTGGCTCTGGCCCAGACCGTGCCCCTGGGAGGAGTGTAGAGAAAGGGCACGGGATGCAGGTTGGTTAGAAGGAACTCAGTGTCATTCTCATATCTCTGCCCAAACCTGTCCTGGCGCCTGCGCTGGGGCAGGGGAGATACTCGGGGATCCCCTAACCCTAGTCAGCTGGGCTGGGGTCTTCCTGGGGCTGGAAGGCAGCTGCCTTCAGAGTCTGCTTCAGAGTAAAGGATGCCGTCGTTCAAAGCTGGGTCCATGCCTTATCCTGACTTGAATTCTTGCTCTCAGCCTGTAATGTGCAGCTGTATTCTGTCTGCAGTGACAGGGGAAGGGATTATCCTATCAAAAGTTTGCATGCCCCAACCCCAGTTTAGGGAGCATTCCAGACAAAGGGGAGAAAAAGCAAATTGCAAAAGTTGCCACAACAAAAACAAAAAAGAAAGAAAAGTTGCCACGAAAAGTATTCCCTGCAGACCCAAACAAAATGGGTTATTCCTGATCACAGGTGAGCAACTCACTGAAGCCCCCAGTAACCCTGTGGGACTCTGCCCAGACCGGGGAATTGTTTGGGAATCATTCAGCTGTGGGTTCTTTGTGGAACCACCACCTTTGGCCCTTAAGCCCAATTCTTAGGGTTAACTTTGTTTTTTGTTTTTTTCCGGTACCGGGGATTGAACTCACGACCTTGCTGGGCAGGCGCTGTGCCGCTGAGCTAAATCCCCAGCCCCCTTAGAGTTGACCTCCAGTCTAAATCGTTTGGGCCGGGAGACCTGCCACTGTGACATCCCGATGGAATTCAGAGTGCGTCTCTAAGTGTGAATGTGTGTGTATTTGTGGGGGTGTGCGACAGATGGCCTCCTGCCACCCTGGCTGAGCCGGGACTGCCTGTTTGGTTTTTATGTTCTGCCCTGGGCCACTGTCTGTAACAACAACAACAATGACTGTGACAATAAATGCCATAAGCCCTTTCCTCACCTGGCTCCTGGCTGAGTTTTATTCATTTCATATATTACCACAACTTCTTGAAATAGCTATTGCTATGACCACTATTTTTCCTATAAAGAAAATGAGACCCAGAGAAGTTCAGTAACCCATCCAAAGGTACACAGCTTGTTTGAAGTAATCAGGATTAGAACATTTTTTTTTTCTGACCCAAGTCTGTGCCCTTAATTCCTATGATTTTCTTTTTTTCTTTCTTTCTTTCTTTTTTTTTTTTTTAGTACTGCAAATTGAACGCGGAACTTTTGCACACCAAGCTACATCTCCAGCCCCTTTTTATTTTTTTATTTTGCTACAGTACCTTACTAAATCGCTAAATTGCCCAGGCTTGAGTCAAACTTGTAATCCTCATGCCTCAGCCTCCCAGAGTACTGGGATTACAGGTGTGTGCCACCATGAACTACGAGATTCTTAACCACAGTCTCTGAATGGGCTCCAGGAGTCCTGGAGACCCCAGAAACTGTGGGGAAAAATTCATGTGAGCCCATGTGGGCACGTTCTTCTCGGGGGCGGTGTTACATAACGCTGGATTCTCCAGGGGTCGGAGATCCAGAAAAGATAATTGCACGCTAGACTCAGGCCACTGGGGGGAGAACAGTCATCCCAGGCCTGGGGAGTAGGACGCCGGCTGTCCCAGCGCTCAGGGCAGGCTCCACCCCTGCTCGGAACCACCCCAGGGTTCCCCAGCCAGGCCCAGCTTGCTGGCAGGACCTGGGGTGAGAAGGTGTGGGGCAGGTGTGAGGCCAAGCACTCCTTTGGGGGAGCTCCTCCCTGTGCCTCTTCCTTCTTTTGTGAGCTGAATGCCTTCCAGGCTTAGTGTCCCCCACTCCTGAGGGCCAAACCCTTCTGGGCACTTCTGCCCCGAGGGGGAAGATGGCAGGCACTGATCACTGAGTGACAGTGACCGGCAGGGATGGGAAGCGCTGGGGGTGCTCCAGGCCTGGGTGCCCCCAGAGAGGCTTCCTGAACAGCCTACTCTTTGGGTCCCAGCCTCTGCTGTCCTCATCCTGGGGCCTGAACGGTCTCTGTCCCTCTCTTGCAGGCACCCCTTGCCCTTTGCTTTGTGCCCAACTCATCTCCTTGGGGAACCTTCCCTGCCCTACCCAACTTCTCCGCGCCTCCCTGGCAGGTGCTGTCTCATTGCCAGGAATGTGCCGGTTTGTCTGTCTGCCCCTCTGCCTCTCTGTCCATCTGCCTGTGAGCTTGGGGAGGCTGAGACCTGAATCTCCTCTGGATGCCTCTATGGCAGTGTTGACTGTACCAAGGGCTTCCCAAGCATTTGTTGAGTGAATGAATAAATACCTAAGAGACAAAGAGAGCCTGGGGGGGGGGGCTCAGCCTGCGCCCCAGAGAGAAGCCCAGGGCTGCAAGGGGAGGGAAGGTGCCGAGTTCCTGCCAGCTGTATACAGATGTGGGAGGCGCCAGCTGCTCACACCTCCTACCCCAGAGGGGCCCAGAGACCTCATTCTTTAATGTTTGGGGCTACGGGGTGGGTCTGGACTCAGCTGCAGCGGTGTGGCCTCGCTCAAGAATGAGTTTTTTCACTTTTTAAAAAAACAGCAGGACCCCTCCCCAGAAATGGAGAGGAAGAACAGCAGAGGATGGGGGATGGGGGCCGGCAGAAGTAGGAGGAAGCAGACACCCGTCCCACCCCGCTGTGCAGGGGTCTGTGGAGAGGGTAAAGGGGCCTCAATGTGTGTGTGTTAGGGAACTGGTTCTCTTCCCAGCTAATGTGGCATCTGAAGGGAACGTGGAAAAGTCAGAAATATTTGGATAAATGCAGAAGCAGGGACCCTGAGGGAAGAGGACTGGCCAAGCCAGGTGAGATGGGAGCCCTGCCTCCTCCCCCTGTTGCCTGGGCAGCAGGAAACCCTCAGATCCCAGTGGGTCTGGCCAGGCGCAGGGGCTGCCCTTGCAAATGGGTCAACAGGAGGAGTTCCCTTCTCCCGGCCAACTCCAACAGCTGACCTTCTCCCTTGCTAACCCAGTGGGCTTCGGTCTGCCGACGGGCAGCACCTCCACTCCAGGAGGACGCCACTCGCTGCCCAGCAGTGCGGTCTGGACCAGGGCAGGTGGAAAGGCAGGAGGAGAGGCCAGAGACCGAGGAGCAGGCTTGCCTGGCTGGGCAGACATGGGAGAGGCCTGAGTCAGGCTTCTTGTAATAAACTGCATGTGGATAATTCAGCAGCAGGGTGGGGGGGCTCACTGCATTGGGGGTCTGCCTGAGCTGCCCCTGGCATCCCCACTGCTTGCAGTTGAGGGGCCACCAGTGCACATGAGGGCGGGAGCTGAATGGAAGACCCCTTGCTTCTGTGTCTTCTCAGTGATGCCAGGCCTCGTCCTGCAAGCCTCCCTCCCCAGTCCTCTCAAGCTCCCCCCAGTCAGAGGCTTCCTGCGGCCAGAGCTGTCTCCCTGAACACTAGCTGCCCCAAGACCTCAGGCGAGAGCAGACCGGATGGAGGCCAGAGGGGATGCAGCAGTCTGATCCGCAGAAAATCTGGCAGCTGGATGGAGAGCATGAGCTGTGTTGGTGGGGGCTGCACCAAATCTCTGGGCCAGGATTTGCCTTACAGTGGAAGTGAGACCCCAGAAGCTGCCCCCCCCCCATCTACTCTGGATCCCCAGGTGCCCTGGCCTCTGCCTTCACCTTGCCTTTCTGGGATGTGCAGGTCCAATTTCAGGGCCACCAGACAGCTCTGTCTGTTGGGGGCCCCAGCACTGGCCCTGGCGCAGAAAGGGAACCCCAGGCTGCCAGGTCTGGAAGAAAGGTGAAGTCCTTTGTGTGTGCAGCCTTATTCCACTTGAGCCTCATCAGCTCCCTTGGGTTTGCAGGCTTAGCGCCTGTCCAAGGGTTCTAGTCACATCCACCGGCACTGCAGCACCTCCAGCTCCTGCCCGGAACCTGCCACCCCTTCCTCTCCCTGCGAAACTGTCCTACTGCTTTAGAGCCAAACCCTCACTCCAGCTGCAGCTGCCCTGTTCTCCCAAAAAGGGGAGTGAGCCGGGAGCAAGCACCCAAGGGGCGTCTCCAGGTATCCTCAGCGTGGAACCCAAAGCCACCCGGGACACAGCTCCCCTCCCCCACAGCCCAATCTTTTTCCTTAGGCTGCTGCCCCCTCTTCTCCCTCCCCCTCCCCTCC